GTGGGGCCCCAGACGGTGGCGGCCGCGCCGGGGCTCCCGGGGCTGTTCCAGGGGGCGGAGATGACGCCCGACGAGGAAAAGGGCGGCTACAGGGTGACTGAGTTCCTGACCTACAACTGCCTCACGGTGAGTGCCAGGAGCCCAGGGCTTCCCCCTGGATGGGGACTAGCGTCCTCCAAGGCAGGGTCTCCCTATCCCCCCCCCCAGCTCCTCTGGCCCATATCGGGGGGCCCCAAGGCAGCCGCTAGGGGTCCCTCACCTTCCCTCCCTGTCCCTCCCCATTCCCGAACTGGGGCCAGCATTCCCCAGGCAGAGGTTCTGGGTCCCACCCCGCTCCCTGGATCGGGACCGGCAGCCCCTGAGGCGAAGGCTCCGTGTCCCACCCTGTTCCCCTCTGACTTTGTCCCTTGCAGAGCGACACCGACCTGTACAGCGACTGCCTGCGCAGCTTCTGGACCTGCCCGCACTGCGCCCTCTACATGCCCTTCACCCCCCTGGAGCGCATGGCGCACGAGAGCAGCTGTCGGCCCCAGCCCCAGGAGGGTGAGTCTCTGTTGGGTCCCCGGGGCCGCGCTGGGCTAGGACACGGCCTGGGTTCCAGGGCTGGCATCCCCCGTCTGGTCACCGCGCAGCCCAGCCGGTCTCTGCCCCAGGCGCTGCAGTGGCTGGGGGCCGCCGGCCATGTCGCTCCACGGGGACGGTGCGTCCCAGCCAAGTCACCCCGGGGGGTGCTTGGCCTGTCCGGTGACGCCGTTTCCTCTGCTCTTGCAGCTCCCCTGGAAGAGGCCGCTGAGAGTCCAGCCAAAGCCACTGCTCTGCAGAGACCTTATCACTGCGATGCCTGCGAGCGGGACTTCATGTTCACATCCACAGAGATCCTGCGGCACAGAAAGCAACACCAGTGATGGCCGGGGCTGTGTGTCTGGGCCTAGCCCTGATGGGGGCTCTAGTGGTCAGAGTGGGGAGGCTGGAGGCCAGGACTCCTGGGTTCTCTCCCCGGCTCTGGGAGGGCACGTGGTCCTGCCCCTACAAAGCACATGGCAGTCCATCCTAGCTGTGCTGGCTGGACTCGCGGTGCGGGGTCATGGGTGGGAGCTGAGTCCTGCAGCGTCGCTCCCTCGCTGACTCCCAGGTGGGTTCGTTACGAGTCGGGTTGGCGGGTTCGTTACGGGCAGGCAGAGACCCCCCGGCCGTGGGTCTGTCAGGGCATTGCTCCGGTTGGACTGGGCCTGTCCAGTGGGGCCAGAGGCACTGCTCCCCCTGGCGGGGACATGTCGGGTATTTGTACATGTGTGAATAAACGTCCTTGGCTGAGGAGCGCAACCCCCGAGGTGCGTCGGAATGGGGGGCTTGGGCTGTTCCGGGGTGTCTCTCTGATACGCGGCAGGCCAGAGGGGGTGGCCCAATAGCCCCTTCTGGCCCCAGCATCTCTGGGTCTGACGGCCCCGGACGGGGAAACTCACCGGTGCTCACAGCCGCTTTGCCCTCTGCGGCGGGGGCTGGGGCCGGGGGCTGGAACCCCCGCGTGGGCGACGGGGCAGCCCATACCTGAGGCCTGGCTCAGCGCCTGGCAGCCCCCGGGACACCCCCATTCTGCGCCTGGTCTCTGCCGCAGCATCGGAATCGATCCGCGCAGGGCAAGCCTGCATCTGACCTGGCCCGGAGTAGGAGTGGCAGTGAGCGAGGGCCTGGGCGGGAGCGGGAGCCAGGGGTGCGATGGGACGCGTGGCAGAGATGGGTGCAGCAGGAAGTCAGCAAGGCTTAGCTGGAGCCAGGGGGTTGGGGGCTAGGAGAGGCCGAGATGGTGCCCAGGTTACAGGCTGAGTGATGAGAGCGAAGGCGTGTGCCTGCGGGTATCTCTGTGGGATAGGCATGTTCACATGGGCAGCGTGCACACTCTGTCCATCTGAGATTGGAGTGTGGACGTATCAGGAGATGGAGGCGCAGCCCGGCCAGTCGCTGGCTGAGAGGCTGGCTTCTCTGCCTGCCAGGCCGGAGCTGCTGCCTGGACTTTGCGTGGCCACGGGGTGGCAGCCTCGCTCTGTGTTTGCAGGATTTGGTGGCGTGTTCCCAGCTCCTGCTCCGAGCTGTCCACGCAGGGTGGCGAGACAGGGACCTCCTGTGTTTGTCAGGATCCTCATTAGTGATGGGTCACCTGTTATTTATGACATAGAGGCTTTGACTGAGATCAGGCCCCGTTGTGCCATGCACTGCCCGGACCCTGGCCGAGATCGGGGCCCTGTCGGGCCGGGCGCTGCCCAGACCCCGGCCAAAATCGGGGCCCCGTCGCTCCAGGCGCTGCCCGGACCCCAGCCGAGATCGGGGCCCCGTCGCGCCGGGGCCGCGCAGATGCAGAGCAAGAGACAGCCCCTCCCCTGAAGAGCCCACGGTCTGAACAGCCCTGCAGAATGCACCGGCCAGGAGGGCACAGGGTGCCTGGCGAATCCTGTCCTGTTGGCTCTGCAGGCCTGGGCTGGGGCTCGGGGCTCGCCCTGCTCTCTTCTGACACCACTCCCATGCCTGCTCACTCTGGAGCTTCTTGGGCTGGCCAGCTCCCAAGGGAGGCTCGTGGGGCACAGGGCGTCTGTTCTCTTTAGGAATTGGGGATCCCCTCCCCCATCTCCAGCCCTGAAAACCCTGATGGCCTTGAGTCTAAGCAGCCCCCCCGCCATTTCCCTGCTCTCCCCTCAGCCCCCCTCACTTGCTCTGTCCATTGCAGGTTGAGTGTTGCATTGTATAGCACCGGGGCAGAGAGCACAGAGCACCCCAGGGTGGGCAGGGCAAAAGGGTGTCGTAAAGGGCACCTCAGATCTAGGGCCACATTTCACCCTGGTGACATTGGGCAGAGAGCACAGCATAAGGAGCAAATCCAGTGTCTACTGGGGGGCTGGGAGCCAGGACTCCTGGGTTCTATCCCAGCTCTGGGAGGGGAGTGGGGGCTAGTGGGTTAGAGCAGGGGAGCTGGGATCCAGGACTCCTGGGTTCTCTCCCCGGCTCTGGGAGGGGAGTGGGGAGGTTAGTGGGTTAGAGCAGGGGGGGTGGGAACCAGGACTCCTGGGTTCCAGCTCTGGGAGGGGAGTGGGGTCTAGTGGGTAGAGCAGGGACGGGCCCACACCACTGTTTACCCAAAAGTTATCTGAATTAATTTGCTCCTTTGGCCTTGCTCTTTGGCCTGTCAAAGCTGTGAATTCACAGACCCTTCCAGGGCTGACGCACTCCCTTGACTGTAGTTTTTGAAGGTCCCTTTTAAGACAACAACCGCTGCTGCTCCCATCTGCATGCTGCTCGCGGGCTGTTTCTAAGAGCTGCAACGCTTTGTTATTTCTCCTTGCATCACTTTAAGGGTTTCAGATCCTCCTAATTCGGGATTAACAGCCAGATGTGTTGATTACTACAATGACAGGGGAAAGTGGCCCATACATTGTTAATAGCCTGCTTGATGAAGAACTGAAGGTGTTGGGGTATCATGCAGACCCAAGCCCCCCTGGAGCAGTGCGGCTTACTGGCCTGGCTCCGAGTTTGCAATATGAAAGAGGGCATGATCGCAGATTCATAAATGGCTGGCAGGGGCTTGTACCAGCGGCATGTAGCCAGGGGCTGGAACGATGGAATTAATTCAGACTGGTCCTTTGGACAAAGCATCACTCAAGGCGGGGGACGGGGAGAGAATGCTTTATGCAGAGGGGATGAGCTGGTGAGCTTAAAAGTCAGGACTCCTGGGTTCTATCCCCAGATCTGGGCAGGTGTTGGGTCTGTAGCCCTGTCTCGTGGCGGGTTCACACTGGAGGTTTAGGACCCTCTGCTGCCTGGGGAGACGGGGGCTAGTCCTTCAGTGCCCGTGGTTGTGGCCGCTGTGTCCCCCTATGCCTCACAGGTCTCCGGTGAGGTGCCTGCCAGGGGGATGTGTGTGTTGGGGGGCAGCCGGCCCCAATGCCTGGGGGTCACAATGGGGAGATGATCTCTCTCACCCTCCATCCTTCTCATCTCCAGCGCCAAATTCAGCCAAAGTTTTAGGCATTCAAGTGTTATTGAATCGCTGAAGCTGTTCCAAACAGCCTATCCCAGCATGGACAGCAAGAGACCCTACCATAAACAATCACGTAAACAAGGCACCCCACGTAACTAGCCCACTCCACTTCAAGAAAAATGCCCCTCTTTAAATGCAGAGGATTCCCCTGGTCAGAGCCGGGTCCCAAACATCCCGGGGGCTTGTCTCTCTTCTTGTGAGTGAAGCTGCCGCATAGGAACAGAGATCAAATGAATCCGGCGATCGATCTGTAATTGTGTCACATCCTGCCCTGTGCTGGGGAATTAATCGGACTGTCGAGGTTAATGGAATGTCAGTTAATTTCTTAGTGCGCGATTGCCGGAGCCGCCTGGTAAACGTTTATTGATTTCAACACAATTAAAGATAAACTGAGCACAGGCGGCTCCGGGTGGCATCAATACCACAATGACACGGAGGAGGAATTGGAGGAGCAAATACTGGCTGGTGTCGGTGCCCCTGAGTGCCCAAGTGGCATCTACAGGCGTTTTCAAAGCGCGGTGCAGGGACAGAGCAAGAGACAGTCTCTGCCCCATCAAAACGACAAGACAGAACCCTTGTCTCTCTTTCACAGCTGAGGCCCAGAGAGAGAGTGGCAGCAGCATTTTCAAATGAGCGCAGTGCCCTTTCAAGCGGCCACATTGTCCAGAGGTCTCAGCATGCTGGATGCTGCTGCTTTGTGGAGAAACGGGCCCATGGTTCGGTACCTGAAGGGGAGAGGGGCTCTGCTGACTAGCTGCCCCACAGTGGCTGCCCTCGGTCACGCAGCAGGGTAGTTGCAGAGCAGGGATTTGAAGCTGGGTCTCCTGAGATGCCATCCGGTGTTGTGTGCCCAGCCACCCACCCGTCCTGCTTCTGGGTGCATTATAAATACAGCGACAGCTTGGTTAGCCAGCTGCCCGTCTGCGGAGACAGGATGTCAGATCCGACACTGC